ACTGTCACCTTGGCCATTCCGGGCAAAGAGACAGCATCTGTGAAAAGGAGCCATCCCTCCCCCATCCTAATCACGAATACTGAAGTAGTGCTCCCCCTGTTGCTCCTTCTGCTGTCTCAGCCATCAAACATACTCTGTGCTTCTGAGTATGTGTATGACCTCCTCCCATGTATGAGTGCTCGGGTCTATAAACCGCTTGCTAGGCCCGAGCATTATCACATGACGGAAGCAGTGATGTCACCGCTCCCTCTTGCGTCCAACACCAACCAACACTAAGGAATATGGTGACGGCTGTGAAGGAGGAAAGAGTAGCAGGTGGGTGCTGGCAAGGAGAATATCAGTCAGTCAGGGTAGATCCCTACACAGCCACTGTGTCTTTTTAAGATCCTTAACATGGTGAGGTACAAACCAACATACAGTATACATTTTATTTATGTGATCATGCTGCAGTCAGATGCACTCACGACTTCTAATTCTTAGGATAACCTATTCCGAGTCTAAAAAGTATTTGACAGCATTTAGAAGGGATTTAAATATTTGTGTTTGCTACAATTAACCTGTTTGTGAGCATGATTCAAAGAACTAACTGCATTATATTATTATTATATTTTATATTTAGCATTTATCAATGCTAAATATTAGATATAACACTAGTTAAATCCATAGACATTTTTATACAGAATTTCATAGGTAACATGTAAATAACCAAACAAAAATGTTACCTTTTTGCAAAAGTCAAAATAAACAATAAATAATATTCCATGGAGTTGATTTACTAAAGGAAAATTGTCTGTTCACTTTGCAAATAGGCTGTTCACGTTGCAAGGGAATTTTTACAATATCAAGAAATTTCCACTTAGCTTAGTGAAGTGGGTGAAGTTTTGGATCCACCATCCACCATCCAATCATGTGCAAGCAAAAATACTTTCCTTTTTTTTTTCCGCTGCAAGTGATTTAGTATTCTTTGCAAAGTAAATTTTCACCATATTCACGCTATTCACTAAAGGAAAAATTCTATTGAAAAATGAAGAGCCTACTTGCTTAGAGCAAATCAATCCCTATGTATGGATAGGCAAAGGTGGCCTAAACTTACCCATTGGAGCCTTAAAACATAACTATGGCCAAACTTTTATATAGTTCTTCTTTGGGTCACAGGAGTACATTTTCTAATGTACTCCTATGACCAAAAGTCAGCATATAGCGTGCTATTGCCCGCTATATGCTGACAGCGGAGAGCTGCAGTCAGTGGTGGACCTAAGGAACAAAGGGCCCTGGTGCAAGATTTTTTTCTCGGGGCTCCCCCCCTTTCTGCTCCCGGGGGGGGGGGGGCCGGAACTGTATCTCACTGGCCCATTTTTCTCAGCTGTCTCTGCACTAAAGGAGCTCACACTCTAATGTCCCCCCATAGTCACACACTATTATTTTACATTTATATAGCTCTAACATATATCGTAGTACTGTACAGAGAACACTGAGCCAGTCACATCAGTCTTTGGTGCAGAGGTCAGGGTGTGACGCACAATGCAGAGGTCAGCAGATGTGACGCAGAAAGAACGAGAACTTACAGTGCACACAGATGTGATTTCTCTGCCCTCATGCTCTCTTGCTCTCCAGGTGGTGGTGGGGGGCGATTGCAGCCATATTTCCAGCATTTCCTAATTTGAACCTCCCAGCAGACTCCTTGTGTCTTCTCCCCAGGACCCGCTCTCCTGTAGTCTCCAGCCGGCCAATGGTGATCCTGCAGTCTTCCTTTTATAGCCTATAGCAGCTAAAGTGGGCGGAGGAAGCTGCCGGCAGCCGACGAACTGCACGATCACTGAAGCGGGCACATAGTAGTGCCAGCTGAACAGATTCTTCTCCTCCTCGGCCAAGGAGAAGAATCTGTACAGCTGTCACTACCATGTGCCCGCTCCAGTGATCGAGAGCGGCAATCACACTTCTCGGCTCTCCTCCTCTACACTCACTTGGCCTACAAGGCTCGGCTCTGCTGACAGCGCTCTGCTCTCTACCTATCCAAGCGCTCCTTTAGTGTCACCTACAAATCTAAACTCCTCTTCCTCTTTCTGTAGGGGTCCCCCAAGGCTCTAAACTTGGACCCCTTTTCTTCTCTATCTACACCTCCTTCCTTGGTCAGTTAATAACCTCACATGGCTTCCAATACCATCTCTATGCCGATAACACTCAAATCTTTCTTTCTACTCCACAACTCACCCCCTCAGTGTCCTTGCGTGTCACTAATCTACTAACTGACACATCAGTCTGGATGTCACAACACTTCTTAAAACTCAACCTTTCAAAAACTGAGATCATTATATTTTCTCGCTGTCAGCGCGCAGGGCCAATCACAGGCACTGAGACATGTTCCCGGTCCGCACCTGCAGAGATCGGTAAAAGTCTCAGTGCCTGTGATTGGCCCTGCGCGCTGACGGTTTCCTGGCGGGCTCGGCACGAGGCGCTTGGGAACACGCCCGAGCCCATCACTAGTTGTTAACACAACTATCCAACCCTCCCCCCATGCCAAGGTCCTAGGTGTCATCCTTGACTCAGACCTCACCTTTCTTCTCCACATCCAATCACTATCCAAATCCTGCCACCTTCCCCTTCTTAACATCTCCAAAATACGCTCCTTCACCAATGAAACCGCAAAATTACTCATCCACTCACTTGTTACAATTGCAACTCCCTCCTCATTGGCCTACCTCTACACAGGCTATCCCCCTTCAGTCTATCATGAATTCAGCTGCTAGTGTCTGCAACCCCCTCTGTCAATCCCTACACTGGCTTCCAATAGCCCAAAAAGGATAAAATTCAAAATATTAACAACCACTTACAAAGCCATCCACAACTCTGCCCTCCGGCTTTATCTCAAACCTGGTTTTAAAGTATCACCCTAACCGTCCCCTCTGCTCTTCCAAAGACCTTCTGCTTTCCAGCTCCCTCGTCAACTCTTCCCATGCTCACCTCCAGGACTTCACTAAAGTCTCTCCCATCCTATGGAACTCTTTTCCCCAACCTATCTCCCACTCTGACTGTCTTTAGGCGATCCCTTAAGACTCATCTCTCCAGGGAAGCCTATCCCACCTCAACCTAACCACTGAACAATCACTTTCTCAAACAATTCATCCCCACACAGCTACCTCCTCATGTATCACTTGCCCCTCCCTTTTAGATTGTAAGCCCTCCCGGGCAGGGCCCTCCTTACCATCTTGTCTTGAATTGTATTGTGATTGTAATGTCTTCCTTATATTGTAAAGCGATGCACAAACTGTTGGCGCTATATAAATCCTGTATAATAATAATAATAATCTTGTAGTGCAAGTATACAGGGACACGTGCAGAATAAGGCCTGGATACTTGTGGAGATGCTAATAAGGCATTAATATCAATAAAATAAAAGGGAAGGCAAAAGGAAAGAAGGGGAGGAAGTTAACATATGGGGTACTTGAAAAGGAAAGGCAAACACTAAATACCAAGAAGGGGTATGACAAAAGAGTCATGAAAAAGTGAGAAAAGAGGGCAAGGAAAAGGGTGAGTGGGGCAGAATGAAGGGAATCTAGGAGAATGGGGAAGAAGAGACCCTTTGTTACTTTTATTATAAATGGAAATGTATTTCTGGATGTCCTCCAAATATTTCTTTTTTTACATATTGTGATTTTAGAAATATGGCGACAAGATCCCGCACATGCTATTTATGATGTACTTGCGTTCACAGCACCATTGTGATCCGCCATTATGAGGTAAAACCTTTTTTCAAATGGAAACCAAGCACCATTTGTATGACATCCAAATGCACCATTGTATAATAACTGTTTTCAAATTGCTTTCACATTTTTAAATATACATGCTTTACCAAATTACCAATATTTAAATCTGTCTAGCTAACCTATTCAACCTACCACAATGCACTTGCTGTATTCTTGTTTTATAATATTTGGATGGGTTGGGTGAAGATCTCTTTGTAGTTTAAACTGAAAGATTGTATTTCAATACATTTGGGACTCCCAAGTTTACATAGTTTGACAAGATACTGAAAGTCTGGTTGAGGACCATATAGGGTTATTAATCTTTTCGTGCAAAGCCTGTAGGGGATTTTCATGGGGAGTACAAAAGTATTACATCGGTTTCAGCAGTGGCATCCTCTTAACTGATGCAATCCCTCCTAACCCAGACAGATTATATTTCTCCCTGGAATGTAGTTATCCTGTTAGGCAATGGAGTGATATATTTTGTGCTAAATAAAGAAGAGTAAGAGGTGGTGATTCTCACTCCCAGATAATTAGGATACTGCATGTATATTGCATGTACATCTATTTTATGTGTAGCATCTGAGTGCTGTGAAAATAATTTCTGTAGGCCAGTATTGTACAACAAATCCTGTATACATTAATGGATAGTAGTGGGGTTAATTGTTGCTTGAACAGCATGGATGTAGTATTTCATGAGTCTGGGTGCAATAAAGGAATACATCTTCTCTTAGCATTGACCATGTGAAACTAATCCTTGCTTTGATTATTCTACTATATGTATAATTTCCTTGATATGATATAATGTATGCTTGCAGTTCAAATTACCTACACATATTAAGCTTGCACAGCTTGATTGTAATCATATACCATTAGTTTCTAGTTTAACCATACTGTAGTATTATGAACAGTGAATATTCATGCCTTCAACATATTTATATTATATATGTAAAACAAGGGAGCATTTGCATCTCCAATATAGAGGGTTTTTTTGCTATGTTTTCGGAATATAAAATTTCATTCTGATAGAAAATGTGCAGCGCATTGGTAGTGAATTGTCAAGCTGTCTATAGTCACTAGGTTAGATTCGGTTGAGTGCCCAACAATGGACAGATGAAAAGGATGTTAAAAAGGATAAGATACAAAGTATACAAGGGTTGTTTTAGGTGCAGAGAGTATATGAACTCCATACAGTTAAAGTCCCAAGTGAGGTTTGAACACAAATCTACAACCACTTTGACACCATACTGCCCATACATGTCAGCTGTACTGAGATGAGCCTGGGCTTCATGCAACCAAGTTCGCCTGAGTTCTCCTAAGCCTGCTCAAAATTGTCACTGCTACCCCCTGTCCAGCACAATCAGTGGCTGCACCTGCGGCAGGGGCATTCCCCACCCCTTTGTGACATATAAATGCGGGTCAGGGAATGCACCCCTCCGCAACTGATTGGGCCAGGAGGAGAAGTTGACAGTGACAGTTTTGAGTGCACTTGGACCAACTCAGGCCAACTGGGTTCACACCAAGCACAGGCTCTTCACTACTAACCACCACCCCCATGATGAGCCAAGGGCCCTACTTATGGTCGCTATTTCTTCTAACCCTGCTGCTATGCCCTGAACTCTTGCCTTAGTACGTATTGGAAAATAAAGCTTTAATTTCAGCCCATTTCCCTAAATTAAAGTTGCAATAGAAAGCAATAAATAGACATTTGTAGAAAGTAATACAAATTCACATGCATTTGCATTATCGTATTATAGATTTACTCATAAAGACTGTAGTTGCTATATAAAGCGCTTTTTTAGCTCTTCTTGTTTATGGCTGTTTTCTGTGTCAATTTGAAAAGCTGTCGTGCTGTTCAAATATGTCATTACTGTAAGGATTAATCATGCTTCTTCTCCTTCCAAACTGACCCAGCCTGTGGATTAGTACTTTTAATTATAACGGTCCATAAGTAAGTGCTTCATGCTTTTTCCATGTTTGACACGAAGATATTAGACACTTCAGTTAAACGGCCTCAGATTAGATTTTGGCAGAGGAAGGAGATAACTGAAGAAGCAAATCTAACTCAAAAACTGCAGTATTTCTCATCACGGAATATTTTTTTAATATTTTATGAAGCTATTGAAATCTGAAAAATGTGTTGATATCTGGTATGTGCGTGAAGTTTGAAACCCATAGTCATCCATAGTCATTTTCACGCAGGTTTCTCTAACGCCTACTCAGGAGCACACACATATCGAGAGGCTGAATCATCTGTCTGCAAATGTATAGGAATATATAAAGAATTAATTTTGGGCTGTGGCTCCAGAAACTGGGCTGAAAAACTGCACAGAGACAAAGGTATCTATACACTCCAGGCTTGGGTCCTGGAATGCTGTAGACAATTGCTGAAAGTTGCTAGATGACTGATGAAGCCTTTTAAAATGCCTATTTAAAACTGAACACTAGGCAGATATAAAAACACAAATTAAAGTAGCTCTGTATACATGTGTGTGTGTGTGTGTGTGTGTGTATGTATATATGTATATATATATGTGTATATGTATATGTGTATGTGTGTGTGTGTTAATTTTTTAATATAAGCAATGTAAGTACCTGAATTTGACCCAGTTTAGGCCTCCTGCAATCTTTGTACAGCAGGGCTCCAATGTAACTGGAAGAAGCAGCAGCCTGAGTCAATACGTTCATGTGCTGACAAGAAGGAGAAAGATCAGTGGCAAAAAGATGAGCTTAGGCTAGAAGCAGGCCTATGATAGTCTGTGCTCAGAGGAAGTGGATTGAATAATGCTGCCCATCAGACTTACAGGTAGCAGAAAGGAACTACTGTGGGGGATAGCTCTGGATCGCGGATGAATATTGTCAGCTGTTTTTGTATTATATTTTATCTTGTGCGCTGTTATTTTCATCTGATGTTTTGCTTCAAAGCTATATTCAGCGCTCACATAAATAACTGTATGGGTGCTTTAAGGGTTAAAACTGAGCAATGCATTGTAAATGTGCTGTAACTGCACTGTAAATGCTTGTGAAATATGATGCTTTACAGGTAAAATGTTTTCAAGAGGACATAAACTATGCTGTTGTGTACTGGGTGTTAGTTATGCAGCACCAGCCTTATCTATAGTGCTCTTCATTGAACTATTTTCATCAGTGTTGTCCAGGTTGAACCTAATATCCTGAATACAGAAATCCATAAATTAGCACTGGATGGTCAGTTTAGGCAGAATCCAGCAGGATGTGTATATATACACATAAGTGTATATATAAGTGGTGCACTCACTTTTGTTGCCAGCGGTTTAGACATTAATGGCTGTGTGTTGAATTATTTTGAGGGGACAGCAAATGCACACTGATATACACGCTGTACACTCACTACTTTACATTGTAGCAAAGTGTAATTTCTTCTGTGTCGTCACATGAAATGATATAATAAAATATTTACAAAAATGTGAGGGGTGTACTCACTTCTGTGAGATACTATATATATATATATATCTCTCTCGGGCGCTCTTGCTGGTGTCCCGCCAAGCTCCTGGCAACCAGTGATATCACTGGTCACCAGGAAGTCGGTGGGAAGCCAGCCACAGCGGCCCGCCATGCTCCTGGCATTCAGTGACGTCACTGCTTGCCATGAGTTCAGCAGGACGCAGCGCCCCCAAAAGCCCCGCCTCCACCACCAAAGGTGACAAAAAAGGTAGGGAGGCCCCTGTCTGTATGTTTGGCTTTGAAAGCAATGTAGATAGTTCATCTTGTCTAAGTTATAGTCATAGTTAGTCAGGTTGAAAAAAGACACAAGTCCATCGCGTTCAACCTATAGAGAAAAAAGAAGAAAAGCCTAAACAGAACGCTAGGCCCATAATTATCCAATGTTGATCAGAGGAAGGCAAAAAAACCCCCTATAAAGCATAGTTCAATTTGCTCCAACAGGGGAAAAAATTCCTTCCTGCTCCCATAAGCAGGCTCTCACAGAAATAGTACTTTTAATCCCCAATTCTATGTCATTTATAAATAGGTTAAACAGTAAGGGACCCAACACTGAACCTTGGGGAACACCACTAACAACTATGTTACATAGATGTGTTTTGATTGTTTGTCTTTGCTGGCTGTGAAGTTATGTACAATAAATAGAAGCAAATTAATTGTGAATTTTGTAACGGTGTAATCAGAAAGACAAGCACAGGACAGGACAGCAAGGACAGGGGAGTAGAGGGTGTTGCCAGAGACTTCCTTGTGTCTTTTTTGTATATTAGTGGTTATATTGCTGTTGTGATGACTCCTGTAAACTACATCCATGCTGTTTTATAAGGGTCGTGTTACTTTTACTACCTGGCAATGTAGCTTTTTGACGCTTTGATCTGTGGTAAGTTTAACATGTCTAAAGAAGATTCATGCTACATTTATACATACGTTAGGGGTCGGCGTTTTCAGAACTCAAGAAAGCTAATTGTAGTAATATATTTGTATGCACACTTTTAGAAGCTTGCACATTATATGAACAACGTGGCTTACTGGTTCATATTATAGTCTTGTGTTAGGGATCATAGGTTATATTCCTACCAGGTACACTAGCTGCATGGGATTTGTGTCCTTCCTATGCCTGTGCCCATCTCTCCGGTTGTACCCATTTCTTTACATTATCCACTTTGGAAGTGTGTGCATGTGTGTGACTGTGATGAAGACCTTTTGGGGGTTATTCACTAAACAGCCGAAGGATGTAGCCGATCGACTGCCTGCCAACTGTTAAAAGATAGAATTTTTTTTTTAAATGGCGCAGGGTCCCCTTCCCAATTTATACCAGACCCTTTTGGTCTGGTAGAAATGTAAGGGGGACCTGCTGATGTAATCAAAATAAAATGTGTGGTGTTCCCCCTAAAAGTCATACCAGACCCCTTAGGTCTAGTAGGAATTTTAAGGGGGACCCCAATACTAAAGAATCGAGAAAAAAAAGTCAGGAAAGGTGGGGGATGAGCAAACGCCCCTCCCTGCACCATACTAGGCCAGGGACCCCCTGGAAAAGCACCTAGTCCACATCTAGATGAGGACAAGGGTCTTTTCCCCACAACCCTGGCCCGGTGGTTGTGGGGGTCTGTGGGCAGGGCGGCTCATCCGCATCTGGGTACCCCCTTTCATAGTTAGAAAAAATGCATCACTCATACTATGCACCTTTTGCAATCAGTAAATGTTACTGTGCATTTGAGAAATCTGCACTTTTTTTGCAGCCAGCTAACAAAACTGTTCTTATTATATTTTTGCGTATTAAATGAGCAACCTCAAAGTACAACATACTAATTCTTACAGTGAATGTTCCTTTAAGAAGTTACAGATCATTACTGAATTGTGCATTAGAGATTGTATTGCATTCTTTCAACTGGTTAGTATGTATGAAAATAGGGACAGTAAAAAATACTGTTAATCAATGTGTTAAAAAAAAAACATGGCATCACTTTTTGTAATTGGGAGGACATTGGCATGCACCCTAAGAGTTAAAGACTATATGGCACTGGGTCTGATCATGCAAATAGGCTATTTGACACTACAGTGCAAAAGAAAGGGGAAACTGCCTTATGAGGCTATGCGCACAGAGCGGGATAGCTGGTTGAAGCTCGCTAATGGACACCCTCTCCCACGGTAAAATTGTTATCTGCAATAATAGAGAGGGCTTTTATCTGGTCAGTTGATATGAATTAATTTAGAAAAAGCCAAGAAAAACGAAAAGTTGCAGAGAAAGGTTTAAAGGGAGTGTAAGCATGCCTTGGTAATCTTGAGATAAAGGAGTTGTTATTAAATAAGGTCTCTCTGGGAGTATAACGATTCCAATATTTGTTTTTGGTCTCTGACTGTAGATAAAAAGTGCCACAATCATATGTCACAATAACAAATATATCATTATATAACTCACATAATACATAACTCTGCACAGTTATGTGGTTTTAGAGTTTTTTTTCCTGTGTTCCTTGTCTCTGAGCTCCTAGAGCTCATGAACTGTTAGATAATCTTATTGCATAAGTTTTCTATTAAGTAACTGTTTTGCTTGTATGTATGTCTTTCGTAACCTACTGTACTCATTATATCTGCCTCTATACGAAATACTGTATATCTATCTATCAATTTCTATTTTAATATTCTGACAATGAACACTGTTGTAATTCTCCAACATAATTAACTATTGTATTTATTTGAAGGATTCCAGGCTTTAGCCTCCAAGGTATTTTTTAGCAGTTTAAAGAGTCAAAATTGCTTTAATCCTAGAATTAATTTAACCCCAGAATTGTTGTGAAGATAGCAGTGTGCCTCTGTTTAATAATGTAATTGTCATATACAATTACATTATTCACAAAAATAAAAATGTAATCAAAAGGAAAACAAAATTGTATCTTTTGTTAAAATTGTGTACCAAATAAAAAATATGAAAATTAGTCATAGAGTTATAGCCAAGTGAACGGACACATGGTGACAGTGCTAAATTTGACCTAGGCAACTACACATAAATTACCTCTGGTGCTGAAAGGGTTCACTATGCTCAGCCTATCCGTTTTTTGTCTGTTTTGACAAATTCTGCCATTATTTTTCAGATGTTGAAGGCTTTGATTCTGTAGTGACAGTCGGAGAGAAACTAAGTCACCCTACTGCATCAAGACCCAAATCCAGTGGGAGGCGCCCACCATCACAGTCTCTAACATCGGTAGGTCTAGTGTATGCAATGCAGTTCTGAGGGGCAACATTCCTATTCACTTGGAAAATGTTTTAATGAAGATACGTCAGTGAAGGAAATTGAGATCATGGGACCTAGTTACTGCATAGCTGATGTCCAGAGAATTAAAAACACACTTTTAACCAGTCAAGTATTCATGGAAAATATGAAATATGTCTTTTAATTACAGTGTGCATATATACCAGAGTCTTTATGCTAGCCTTAAAAAGGTTTGTTCTAACACACTTGACAGACAAAGACCTGAGTCTGATAGTGGACATAGATTAATATTCTTGTAGCATTTCTTGTAGCAGTAGGGGTTGCTGGATTTCTAACGGGCTTTCTTTCCTTCCTTGATCTGCTAATAATAATTACCTTGAGGAGGTAACTAGTCCCCCAGTTCGGTGGATATATATATATACCTCCAGAACAAGGCAATATATTAATTTATATTTTACACCTACTTTCTTACGGAATCCACCTTTAGCGCTGTGTTATCACTTGCACATCATATTTTACCAATTCATAGCAGCTTTAGGATTAGTATTTTAACTTTTTAGCCTTATCTTTCCAAGAGTGCAGATTATTTTATCTTAATAATAATAATGATCTGCTCTGTAGATGCACCCAAACAATACACTGACCCACTGTTGGTGACATACAGACTTCAGATCAGATCCTTCAGTCTTTTTTCTTGTAATTTATTGGTTCAATTGTCTTAGGGTTACAGGACACCCAAAAGCAGATGCAAAAATCCTTCTGCACGGTAGACTTCTAGAATTAACTGTTTAGGCCCAGGTGGACTATTAACTTTCAGTATCTTTTTACCCCTGTTACATGTCAACTTTAGGATTTTTTTTATACCTCTGCCACAGGCCAGTGTGCAATCTATAGGCCCAGACAGGCAGCAACTTTTTAGTTTCAGGCCATCTTAGGACTCTTTAAGCCTCTGACACAGGTCAGCTTGGATACTCTAGGGCCAGACAGGGAGCTAGAAAAACAAAACAAACACTTTCTTCCCTTCAGTTTTCTCCTCCAGGCAAAGAGGCATGAGAGGCAAGGGCTAGACCTGTCGCAGCAACATCCTTCCCAGGCAGCAGCCTGCAAGGCGAGGACTGGGCCCTTCACAAAGACGTCCTCTCCAGGCAATGCCTGGGAAGGAAGGATCCTTCCAGAAGGTCACTACAAATATGTATCCTCTTTCCTAGCTCACATCACTGAAAGAAACTTCTTAGTGATTGGCCAAGGCAGAATAATTATTTATTAGCCAAAACACTGTAACTTCTCTATCTACTGAAAGACACTCAACTGCAGCAGGCAGACACAATCAATGCCTTGGGCTTAGGAGAAACCCAATGAATACAGATAACATAAACAGAGCTCAGACTGGCTTTAACCTAGCTGTAAACACTACATTTAGACTAGGGACACTCCAGCTTAAGGCAGGGTCCCTACATTTTATATTACATATATTGGAGTTCCAGTTTAACCAAAATGTACCTTTTTATTGCAAACTATTAATATTACTCCATGTAGGATGAATTATCCTAGGGTGTACACGCCATATGTTTCATGTCTGATGAACTCTTTTCTTCATTTTTTTTTTTTTTATTTGCTTTTTCCCCTGCAGTCATCTCTTTCCAGCCCAGATTTTTTTGATTCTCCCAGTCCAGAGGATGATAAGGAAGAACTTAATAACTTGGCACAAAGATCGGTAGACCCATCCAAGAAATCTTCCCGACCTGCCACAGCATCACAGGTAAGTCAGAGTGACTTGCTGCAAAGCTTATGTGGTTGTTGGAAAGATGCATTTACAAGCATGTGTCATGTTACTTAGGGGTCTGTTTATAAACAATTTGCCAAGCCATTCACCCTGCAAATCTTTCTGAATGTTCCTTCTGTATGAATGTTCCTTCTGTATGAAAAGACACAAAAACGAACGTTCTTAGGTATACTTATTTTTCAGGTTGAATATAATACTGTATTCTAGCCACTAGAATAAATACTTATTTCCTATGCTCCTTAGCGCTATCCAATGGAATGCACTATTAAATTACATGTATTTTGACCAGAAAAGTAAATTTATGTGAGACCGTTTGGTTTTGTGTCTATTTGTTGTTCATAAAGATTCACAGGGGAATGGCTGTGCAAATTGTTTAACTCTTGGGGTTACATAGTGTGTTGGATAGAAATTTAGGTGGGATGGTGAGGAACATAGTCCATGACTGTCTCTGTAGCTCCATACAGTTAGCCCTTAGAGCAGAGAAAAGCCTGGTCTATGGGTGAGTGATTCCTTAATGTGTACATCAGGTAAGGTACACATTAAAGTACAGTGCGGGCGATCGCACTGTGGGTGAGAGGGAAGCGTGTCTGCTTTTTTTTCCAATGTTTGGTTTATGTGATACAGTGCGTTCCAGGCATGAATCGTGCTAGAATGCACTGGATATGGTATGAACCAGCCCTTATAGAAAACAAGTAAACAGTGAGAAATAAAATCATCCCCAAAAAATAAAAAATATTCTAAATAATGACTGGAGATGTAGATTATAGTACATATCTGTTTGTGACTTGTTCTTTTAAAAATGAATCTGTGTTTTGGTCATGCATGGAAAAACAACAAGTTTACCTAAATACCACCCTATCTCCTCACTGCTTATACATACTTCCCTTTGTTGCCCTGCTGCTATAAAACAAAGAAGCTCTGTGGAATCTCCAGGTTGCTGAGGTTGGAGTTAACACAGGCTCTTTTCTCACCCCATATGACAGTGCTGGGGCATGGTGGTTGGCTGCTCAGGCTACCAACACTGCATTGAGGGAGGAAGAAGAGTGAGTTCTATACTTGCCATACCCTGAAGTACTGGTTATCTCCCTTCCCTCAATGGAAAGTTGGGGGAGCAAAGAGAAGGTGGGTGTGTGCATTTTGAGAGCAGGTGAACGTGTTGCTTTGCCCTGTATGGGCATGGAAGAGGTTAATTTTCAATATAGGACATTGTCTAATTTTATTTACATTATTAGGATTTGTAACCCTTATTAAGCTGAACTTATTGTTTTTCAGTTGCCGGAAAACAGAGCTGCATTGCCCCCAAAACCTGGAGGTTTAATTTCAAGTGTTAGCTTCTCACATGGGGCTTCCGGTGCACCATCAGCATTCCACTCTGTCACCTCAAGCAGTCACAGATCAAACTCTCCGTCCTTTAGTAGTCCAGACACAAGACACAAAAGTGAAATCAATCAGTCACCACTGGAAGAGCTACAAGTACAAGTCAAAGAGCTGAGAAGCATCATCGAGACAATGAAGGACCAGCAAAAGTATGCACTGCTATGTAAACATTTACAGATAGGTGTTCTAACATCAAAGCTTGTACATAGATAGGTTTATAACTGTGAAACATATGTGCCATTTATGATGCAATATTGGAGTTAGTTCCTCCTTTCTAATCCATATATTTCTTGTAGGAGCAATGTCTATAGTATCAGAATCGGTAAACGTTTTGCTTATACGAGATGCCAGGGCCTCCATTATCATGATTGTATGCTGGTACCATAGGGATATATTATCGGGGCAGACTGGGTTATCTGGGGCCCACCGGAGAAAGGGAGAAGGAGAACCCATTGTGCTTAATATAACATGATAGTGCACTAACTGTTGTAAAATTTACAAAGTAAAGCTTATTGAAGAGTTCCACCACCAAAACAAAAGAAACCTACAGCGTGGGTAGTAGCCTAAAAACTGTTCTAGGGTCCTTAATGCAAAATAGGAGGTGGGTCCTAGTTCACTATGTTGCTACTACCATAATCATGTCATGTAATGGCAGTGTTGATGTTGTTGTTGTTTAGGAATACTAAATTAAGCTTCTGCAATCAAATGTTCTTAAAGCAGACCTTGCACTAAAAATGCAAAGCCTGCTTATTTACTTTGCCCCCCATGACAAAACACTGCAGTAAATAGAAAAAAACTGTAAGGAAAAAGTTATTAAATATACTTAGCTGTCCCCTAGCTTCCACCTGTGTCGCCTAAGCAAGTGTGACATGCCTTTTGGCGAGATCCTGGGGAATGATTAGTAGACCAGATCTCACAAGAAGACATTCCTGCATTGTACTAAGGTGTCATCTCACACGATTTGGGATACTCAGCATTATCCAGGATCTCATCAAAAGGAGTGTGACATCACCTCCGTCAGGGTGGAAGCAGGGGGTACGGTAAGTATATTAACTTTTATAGTTTTTGTTGATGTGTTTGGCATTGAGGGGATGGTAAAGTAACCTTGCTACTAGGTCAATGGCAGTGATGGTGGGGACTCGCATATCCACTAAGAATAATGGCCAGCTCACAGTTCTGACTGCTGTTGAACCTTATCTAACACCTTCTAAGGTTCAGGTCTCTATTAGAAACTGTATAAGAGGATTAATAACCATGTTTGCATTGCCCTACATGACACCTATTAAATTCAGCTTGGAACACTTGAAAAATGAGTCACTTCACAGAAATAAGAATTTTTCAAAACATAAAGCATGCCATTATTGCTCTCTAATGCCAGTTATACTTTTTAAAGCATGACATAAGATTAACAAATAGGCTGAGTTTTTTTGTTCCATATCACTAGTTCCTTGTGATGCCTACTCCTACCCCTGGATGGACTGACTACTTTCTTCTGTTCATTAATAGCAGTGGCACTCGTGTAGTCATTCCTTCCCTGGGCTGTGTATTATGTTTCAATCTGTGGCGGCTGATTGGTTGTTGTAGGTTAAAAGGCAAAGACAGGATCACAATCCACAGTTCAGAAAGGAGATACCGCATTTACATTAATGCTGCTGACGGGTGGGCACCAGCATGATGGATATCACAGTTTAACCTGTTAGCTAAGACAGAATCCAGTAACATCCACACATGTATCTTGATATTAGCCACCACTTTGTATTTAGAATGCTTGGTAGAGCCAAAGGAGATCTCACCGCTCCAATTCCTCAGCCACCATCAGGACTCCCCAGGTGCTGGTCCAATAGGTGCGTCTCCACCTTGGAATGTAGTAGTATACGAACAGACCGCACTATCCAGAGAATTCCAATACTGCAGACTTTATTGAAATTCACAGCAAATCCAGTATATCAGTGAATAAAAGTGTATAAAGCAACGAATGCCAGCACTGCACACCCCCAACCAACTACAACCTCTCACATGTTTCACCCGTAGGCTTATTCATAGAGATCATGAATAAGCCTACGGGAATGCTTGGTCATTTAATAGTTGTGCAAATGTTCTGGTACGCATTTGTGTATGTATGTGTCTGTACCTAAAATTAAAAGTAATTTCAGAAAAGAAAATGATCCATGATGGAGCACAGTGCTCTGATCTTAATTCTGATTATTAGTTTGATTATTTTCCACATTCACAGCGCTTATTGTGCAGTTCCTATCCAGTCCTCATATAGCTTCAAAAGATCCGATTTAATTAATCTCCCCACTTAGCGGTATTCTAATTATTGGCTGGCTTGCCATTAATAGGAGCCAGTAATTTCCCTTTATAGATTATGGCCATGTCAGCGAGAAGAAAAACCAAAGTGGAAACAATTATGTCCCAAAATATGAATTCATAAGAGAGAAGGAAATGATTAGTTAAAGCCATTCGCATTCAACTATTTGTAGGGCCCTTTGGAGCTTTTTCAAAAGGATGGCGATCAAATGCTAGATCAATTATACTACCAGAATTACTAATAATACATTCTTGCTATTATATTTATGTATAGAAGCTCAGTACACAAATATCCCCTCAGTTTTTCTACATTGATCCATATTGGTGCCTGCTCATTCCAGACTTACAGTATACACTTCAGTTTAGTAATTGCTGATGGGTCAGGGTTCACTACTGGAGAAAGTTTCATTGCCATAGCTTATAGTTTATCCTGAACCTACAGAAGAAGAATATTCTTTATTATTTTATTATTTTGACTATACATATATATGACTGAATTGTTATACTTCATCAGGAGCTCTTCCTTAAATTTTTTTATTTGACTAAAATGTTTTATTTTTTATTTTCGATAGAATGGGGAAGTATTAGAACTCCTGTCAAATTTGACTGCTATCTGGAGCTCTGTTAGAGAGATTTTGCTTACTTATTGTCACCTTGACAAAGGTTTCACCAGGAAGTTCGCAAGCAGCGACGTAGACAAATAAAAAAATGTTGTTTTTTTTTATAGAGTAGCAGAAGGCTAGAACTCCAGTCAAATTTTAATTGCTGTCCCTGGTGCAGATTTTCCCTCACTTCTTGTCTCTTGTAACTGTGTGTGTGAAGCACTCTAATGGAGCCTGCATAGCAATAAACTTTGACACAGGTTCTAATCCTTTCCCTCTCTATCCAAGAATCCCCCCAAAAAATGTGGGTAGACATAAACATTAAAATATATCTGGGATGTAAACAAGGCAGCCATTTGTAGACCGCTGTATGTTCTGTCGGTTTTCTATGGGGTAGAATCTACCCTATACCTCAGGAATGTCATTAGCATCTAATGGATACATAGGATGAATATTGGGTCAAGCCACATCATGGCTGCATTCACTTTATACTAAAAATGCAGTCTTTGGTACAATACTTTTGCAAAGAGCATTCGTATGCACCAACCCATAACATTCCACAGGTGTTACCTTCTATCACTTAGAAGGTAAACGTGGTACCTTTATTATGGGTTACTTTACTTTGTTTATTAAATTTTCCTTGATTTTACAGTATTAAGGGTTGATGCAATATTTATGTTCGACGTCTAATGTTCTGCTTTTTATACAAATGAATTATTTTACAGCTGTATTTATGCTTTGTGCCAGACTGGGTTTTGATATAACAACTTCATTTCAGCACAATGTATAAATAAAAGTTCCTTATGACAGTAATACATTTAGCAATTTGCTTCAGTAAGCTGTACAACAGCTTTAATCATTGTGTTTATTTCATAGGAAAGAGATAAAACAGTTGTTGTCGGAACTGGACGAGGAAAAGAAGATTCGTCTACGATTACAGGTAAAGTGTGCACCAATATCTGCCTGTTTGTAGTAATGCATCATGACCTTAAACTGAGTCTGTTCTGTTCTGTGCCATGTACGACAAAGCAAAAGGTTCACCTAAATCTCAATTTCTCCTACTGAACCATTAAATGCTTTTCATGGCTCATCAAATTGACCTGGATGACTGTACCCCCTCCCACATTTCTAAACTACCTTTTGCCCGTTGACAACTCTGTGCACAGTCTTTCTTGGCTGCAAGCCTCTGACTCGTGAAATTATGGAAGATTGCACTGTTGTAGCATTATAGAAGCCTTGTATACTGTAACATTGACAATGTAGCTCTACAAGCTAAGCTATTTCCTGTACTTGCTGTGCATAAACTTGTTAAAAATTCAATAAAAACTATTACTCTGAGACTCCTTACTAAATTTTCTTTCATTGTAGCTTTGAATAGACTTAGGTCAAGTAGATATATAGATGTCCATGACCCCGTTGGAGTGATTTTGCCTCATTTACTGTCCTTACTGCAAAGAAAAATGAAAGGGTTATCTACTCTGTTCTAGACTAAAAACTAAAGTTTTGGAGGTTTGGCTCGATTTAATCTTTAAAGAAGAACTATTGGGAGAGTAAAATATACTCTTCACAATAGTTTGAACTGGTATGTGACATTGCAGGTGTCACATGCCGGGTCTATAGATTGAAAGTGATCACAAACCACTGATCGCTCAGCTCACAGCTTCTCCGTGCAGAGAGCGGTGACTGTCAGTCTTCTTTCCCCACAGGGATTCTCTTCACCCCTTCCTCCAGCGCTCATTGGAGGACCGACAGGGGAGAGGGCGGGCACTGCTGGCTCCAGCTCTAAATGGGCAGAGCCAGCTTTCAAGAAGGCAGTGTGGTGGATCCCGACTATGGATACAGCAACAAAGCAAACGTGATGGGGGAACTAGGCTCTCAGCATTTTGTTAGCACCCTTGACAACCAATGATGCTGACAGCTGGCAGGACCTTCTGGGTATGCCAAGGAACTAGTTCCCCCATCAGGTCCGCTCTGCTGCTGATTTGACAACAGGCAATGGGTGGATTCCATAGCCAAAAGCAGAATCGCTATTGACTATGGAATCCACCAATGTCTGCTGTCAGTCACAAGCAGGGCAGACCTGATGAGGGAAGTAGTCCCCCAACTTTCCCATTTGGTTCTGCCCACTCAGACACATCACTGGTTGCCAAGAGGCTATCAGCTGTGCAGCTGATGGCGACTTAGCAACCAGTGACTCATCCCTGGCTTCATTCAGATGCTGGCCGTAAGATTACCTGCTGCTGAATGAAAAAAAAAAGGACAGGGGATGCTGGCTGACATAATGATAGTAAGTGAGCAAAAGCATGCCTTAGAAAACAGCCGAGGTAAAAATTAGGTAAAGACGGAGACAAAACAAAGGTGTGTGTGTTTGTGTGTATATACTGTATGTATACAGTTTTTAGCCAGACCTTATTCCACAGATATTCAGATGCTCTCCAGTCTGTATCCATCCATCCAGTCCAGCATGGATCTCTCAGTCACCCCTCAGTCACTATCAGGTGCAGGCTAATGATTAGAGAGAGTAGGTGTACCTGTTGGGGCAAGGCTTAACTCCTTCCTAGCCAGGGAAAGCTGCCCTTTTCAACCTTAAAAAGCAAAGAGGTTTCATAGCTGTACAGTACCCGAGGGAACGATCCAGACACTCCATGTAGCTGTATAGTTAGAAAAACGATCATGGAGGGTTGTATTTTTTTTATAGTATCATTTTGTTCAAATGATTTTTCTATAGAATTCTGTTTATTTTATTCTTTCCTGGTTAACTTTTTGCTTCCTCTTTGATAGCCAAAGTTCATAAAAAATAAATGCTTTGCTGTTTTTTTTTCAGATGGATGTCAATGAAATAAAGAAATCTCTACAGTCCAAATAAATAAATGATGGCTAGTAAATAACTTTCATCCACCGGAAGTGAGGAATGAAGAGCTGTTCTTCCCACGCAGGCCAAAATAGTTTTGGTGCCAAATGATTTAAGATTCACCTCAGACGCTCAGAAAGCACAACAGAAGCTCTACCTACCAAGGAGACCCTGGTGACATTTGTAGTGCTCGGCACACATATTTATCAAGACAGCTCCATGTTGTGCTCAAGTGTTCCTCTTAAAACTGCGAATGAAGAAAACTCAGGCAGTTTTACTTCAGAGTGGTACTTTTTTATGATATTTTTCCATGAATAACGTGTATTTCAGATTGTCTGTTTACAAGCTTTATAATTTTACTTTTTTTTTTTTGTATGTGTGTTTGCGTATGTCTATCTCAGACTCCTGAATTATTTGTACAGTGTGCAGTTGTCATTTGAAATCTTTTTTTTTTTTTTACTTCCCAGATGTATTCATTTACATCTATGACTATGACTTTTAAAAGTACATATACAATGTACTGTCCATGCAATGTGATACAATGCTTCTGAACTGATTTTCACTGTACTTTAGGAATGTGTGTCTAAAATAAGAAAATGATAGATAAATATGATTTGTGCCTTTTTTTGTTTTGCCTAGGACAATTGTGCAAAAAAGAATAAAAAAAATGGAATTCCAGTTATGATCATGCCAGTGTAGGTCCATCCAGATAGTGGAGGGAGGAATAAAGGCCCTTTTTGGGCTTTACTGCTATTCAGGGCTCCTTGCAGAGATTCTATCTCACTCACTGTCCTGTTTACAACTGTGTTAGAAGACATGATGTACAGGAAAATGTCCAACAGCAACACAGACAAACAAAAATGTTTTTTTTGTACAGTAGAGAAAGGCAAAAAACCAGCATTTTGTTGCAGGTTTATGTCACTGTTGCAAATGTATCCTTGCTTCCTGTCAATAGGACAGAAACTAAGGGGAAATCTCTCTAATGGGGCCCCAGATAGCAGTAAAATCCCAATAGGGGCTCTAATCACGGCCCACCCTATCCAAAATTTTAAAACATTTAAACGTTTTGGCTGCAGGCACATTTAAAAGAAGAACTCTGGGCAACAAAAAAAAGCGTCCCCTGCACTGCATGGGTTAAGTGCTCATTTTGTTTAGGGGACTCAAATAAAGCTGTTTTACCTACCTGATTCTCAGTCCTGCCATCTCCCTCCAGGCTGCTAGACTTCTCCCCTTCGCTCTGACAGTCTAAGGACTGCTGACGTCATCAGGACTCATGCTAGTTCATTGCATTAGACATCAGGATGCCCAGGGACATTCCAACATCAGGAGCAGAGGGGAAGAGAGGTGAGCGCTGACTGCCCCAGGAGCTGGGATCAGGTAAGTAAAACAGCTTTATTTAAGTCCCCTAGACAAAATAAGCACGTAACCTTTGCAATGTGGGGTAGACCCACTGCAAGGATATGTTTTTTCTTTGCCCAGTGTTCTTCTTTAAAGATGATATCTGCTAAACACTATTTTTATCAAAATCGGCCACTTAACCCCACAATCATTTTAGAAAATGTTCATCCCTTTCTATATACTGCCCGTGTTCCTATCTGATGGGAGCAATGCCGATTGGAATTTTAATGTCTGTGTGTATGTGGCCACACCTTAGCATGCCACGGTTAAGAGTGATCCAGGACACAAAATCTCTCAGCTTCCATGATGTAGTGCAGCCTTCAATCTTTTGCTGTGTATAAGCTGCACTGTCAGTTATCATAATGCAGTTCAGTATTTTCAAGCGTGCCAATTACTAGGCTGGTAATGAACTGAAGACATGTATTTAAGGAAAGTTTTTTCAAGTATTAATTGGTTATATTCAGCCATTTAAAACTCTAATTTTAATTACTGCCTGGTAATTAGATTCATGTTTCCCATCAAATTCCTTCCCTTTTTTAAATAAAAGCAGATCCAAGAAGATATGGCCCTGATGTTTGAGAGCAGGTGATTTCTGCAATTTACCGTATGTGATGGGGAAAAGAAAAAAGCCTGTGCAGCCCCATCTCAATACAGTAAATGAGTGCTACAGACCTAGACAGGAATTGTCTTAAAAATAAAAACTATGAACAAATGTATTCAGAAGAGGATTTAGTATTGACACCTATAAAAAGAATGTACACATATGTTTCATTGCTGGTCCCTTTCTTTTCAGAAAATGTTACACTCCATTTTTAGTGATGTATAGAAAAGGTACAAGTGTTAAAAAGAGAGTTTAAAGACATATAAAAAAGTAGGCTTCATTTGTAGTGATCAATACATTTTCTTTTGGAGAAAAATTTAGTTTACTCTTTATTTAAAAGGTATGTCCATGAAACATGGAATTGCCTATTTGAAAATGGAACTCTACTGTCATTTGAATTGGTTAGAGGACTAAAGTGTAGAGAATTTTCACTGTAATACCATATATCATCAGCAGGTGGTGCTGCAAGCAAACGCTGTCATAACAGATATACAGTATGTCCCACATGTGAGGGGTCCCAAGCATCATGGTGCAAACAGCTACAGCAACAACCATTCAGGCACTCAGACATTTTACTTCAGAGAGTTGGTACTGAGAAAAGCTGCACACATTCCCTGAGATTCAAAAATAGTGATGAGTCTGGGCCTGAGTCTGCCCAAACTTGCTCAAAACTGTGACCACCGTCCAAAAAAACAGTTTTGAAAAGGCACATTCCCCGCAGCGATGCATCACAAAGAGGCATGGGAATGCCCTTGCTACAACTTCCGTTACACTGATCGGGCCAGGTGGTAGGATTGGCAGTCACAATTTTCAGCGGGCTTGGGCAAACTGGGTTCGCACCAATCCCAGACTCATCTCTATTTACGAAGAGGGTCATAGACTGTCATTAGAAATCTGTCTCCCGTTCTGCAACAAATAGTGTAACTTGCAACAGATTCAGCTGTAAGATGTATATGAATCGGTTGCAGAGTTTTTGACAAAATATTATCTGCCACACAATACTTACATGTTTGACACAATTTACTCCGACATGGAAGAGGTCTTATTACCTTCACTTTTCTTATTACCAATATGGCGGTATTTCTTAATGAATTTGTCACAGCCATAGAGCCAGAATGTAAAAGTGTGGCGCATGACTTTGTCTCACATATTAGAGATAGCATGAAAATTGTCGAACAGCTTTCAAAAATGTGGCGCAGTACTTCCTAATACGGCCATAACACCAGAAAAGTGTTGCACATGCTTTCTTGAATCACTCCTATTATTCTTGAAAGTAGGCAAACCTGTAGTTGGTTGCCCTGCATCCCTGCATGATTCTGTTCTATGTTTTATATTGTCAAGCAGATCTCATACTGGCTGCTCAAAAGAAAGAAAAAAGCAGTGCAAAAATGATAGACGCACAGCAACAGACAGCGACCTTTAGCAAACTTCCAGCTTTTAATAGATAAATGAGTTGATCAGTGATTACTTACTAGTAGTTACTGAACAACATTGCTCTTTGCGCCTTAATGGAAGGTTTGTGTGTTCTCTCTGTGCCATGATCATTTACAGGGTTATTCACAAAAGGGTGAAGAGTTTGGAGAAGGCAGGAGTAGTGAACAATCTAGGACAAAATAGCTGATTTGTAAAAATTCTCCAATTCAGTTCACTTTCCAGTTCAGCTATTTTGGCCTACATTGTTTGCTTCTCCTGTCCCTCTCCTAAAACACTTCACCCTTTAGTGAATAGCCCTGTAAGTCTTGAAAGTTATTCTTAGCTAAAGCATTATATTTCCAGAAATGGAAACATTGCCTTCAAACTAAAAAGAGAGAGGAATCAGTACCATTCTAAAATATCAGAATTGGACATTTATTGTGCTACACATACAACCCTCACTGGCTGCAGTGCGACAGCAGCCTCTAGTGGTGGTAATTAGAACATACAACCCCAATCTTTATGTATAGAATGAAGAACTATTTTTAAATCATATGGTCACAAAAGTATGAAATAAAACAGCAATAGATATACATATTTATGTCAGACATTGTATAGGGAAATGCATGGCTGTGGTTAATGTTCACCTTTGCCTACAAGCAACAAGGCCATTTTGTGGACTTAACTAGTATTTTTATAATAATAGTTTAGTCATCGGTTTGTGGAGGTGACAGGTGCTTTGTATGAGTATTAGTAGTTAGGAATCCATCACATAATAGTCATTTATTCATCCATAGAATCAACACATTTGCTAAATACATGTCATATGAAAGTATAGTATTGTTACTTAGAACAGCCAAGGCTGTTTCTTCTCGTGAAAGCCTTGTCACAGGCATTGGACAACTGCTCACAAAGTTTAAGTGCATGTCTTTCTTATTAAAGAAAAGACAAACATAAATGTAATGCTGTATGAATAAATTCATGGAACGGTGGTGTTGTTCACACAAGTATCTTTGGATTTTATTCTGCAGGATAAGTCTAACCTATAAACTGTTCTTCAGCTCCCCTGAAAGATCTGAAGCCCAAACAGCTTGGGGTGGTTCTGCACCTCACCAGTAATGTCCTGTAAAACCACATCGGTGACTGAAACTGCTGAACACATTAGAAAATGCATAAGGATAGTGCCAGGCAATGCAGCAATATGTCTTGATTTTCTTTGCTCCAGGTCTCAGAGGTGAGCTAGGTATGCTAGTTACATTCTGAAAGTACTCCACAGATAATCAAAGATTATATAAGTTTCCTTAAAAGATCGTTTGCAAACGAATAGGACATATTCTGCTATTTTGCATTGGTTATATCAGATTATACGTGCTTACATTACCAGCTTATTCCACAATTTCATTCTCCCTTCTTTTTACAGCTTTTTCTTTAGGTAACTGGGAACACGTGGCCTTGTCAAATGGCCCTTTAGCTGCCTCCTCATTTACTGAAAATAGGAAAAACAAAAAATTACAGAATCTGCATCCTTGCACCATTTCCATTTGGCAGGAGATAGGACATCTGTGACCATCAATGGATGGGGAATAGTGTAGGTAAATTGTTCTTGGTATCAGGGATGGGAGCTGCATTTACTACACTGTCTACTATTGCCACAGCAGTACTAAGGAACAAAATGCTCTGATAGCCCAGATAGTTCTCTTTGGAGAAATTTAAGGATTTCCAAACTGGCCGGTGACCTGTAGCAGGCCGAGAATGCACTGGGTGTGTTATGTCTCCTTTCTGACCTGAAAACATCTTGGGATTCTGAAGAAACTACATGGTTCAGTGAATAGGTTGACCTGTAGTGCCTACTTGAGCTTTGGCAGGCTCCCACATCCCACAATGCATAGTTAAACATAAGTGACCTATAGAGATGTGCATGATTTGTGTTGTGGATTGAGGGCCTTCAGGTCTGAATTGGCATCTGTAGTGTGTACCCAAGTTTACTGGTCCAGCATCAGCTCTTTTATGTACTGATGGTGGTGTCTACATTTAGGAAATTGTGCTGCTGTAGCAACATTTTGTTATAGACAGGCTCCCTCACCTTGACAACCCTTCTTGCTCAGCCACTTTATTCAGAACATGCATTTAAAGTGCTTGGGTTGCCTACACTTTTGTGTCGAAAACCAACTCACTGACGGGAAAAACTGCAACTGCAATTCTGTAATATTGACCTATACTCAAATATAAACTTATAACTATCTCAACTGTCAGGCTGATTAACAAATGAAGAACAATAGAAGGGTTTAAGTGCCTTCCTGAAGAAAATATTGCTCTAGGCTCATTCAGTGCTTTCACATGACCAAATACTTTGATTTATGTTGAAGGGATGAATCAGAGTTTAGATTGGATCATGCTCCTATTCAGCACTAGATCATGTGACTAGTGTTGCAGGAAGCCTTGGCAAACCGTTTCACCATCAAAGATAAATATTTTAGTACTTTATAGTTATCCATCCCAACAATACTTTAACAGAGATTTAAGTTAAAACTTGGGTATGGTTCCACCTTAACAGCAATAGTGATAGTAGATATACTAGTGGAGGAGCACATTGAATGTCCCACTGGCTTAAACAGAAATGTCAGGTAACCACCAAATTGCAGGTAGACCTTAGCACTGCCCCCACCCCATCCCTGACACTATATAACCCAATATTTTTTTTCTTCCTTCTGTCATGATCCCATTCTGCTTTTCCATGAATGAAAATGCTACCAGAAATAGATACTCTTGTTCTCCAAAGGGTTTGTGGATTGGTGTGTGTTTTACAGTGTTCTTGCCAGACCCAGGCAAGCAAGACATTTTCTTCACTGAAGTATAACCAAGTGGCCAGTGTGAAAGCAACGCATGCTATTTCCAAGAAAATATTTACCTTCAAATGTATATTTAACCCATTTAATAAACCTTTATAAAACCAAAACAGACTTCTTTCCGCTGTGAGGCTGCTCTTTGCACATGACGCACCCAGCCAGGAAAGGCTAGTCTCAGAAAAGCAAGCCTACATGACTATGAAGAAGGTGATTTTATAACTTACAGCATGGAATGAATGTCTATACCAATTTGTTGTACTTGCAGGAATTCTAATATGTGACCTGTGTATGTTCTGTTCTCTTTATTACGTTTTTACAGACTCAGTGTAATTTATATGTATCACACCAAAATGAAATGTAAATTATGTTTTAATTTTTACTACCCCCCCCCCCACCACAGTGTCTGAGCAAACACCATTACATTGAATCAAGTACATTCAATATCTTGGGTCATAAAATAATTTTAATGCATATTTAGTGATGGTTGTTTTTAACTTGGATTTTTATAATATCCCTGGTATTTATGTATTGTCACTTGCCACTCTGTTGTAAGCTTCATAACAATGAAAAAGTGTTTTTATATTGAAATGTTGGGTTCGTGTATTTTTTTTTACATTTAATAATTTAATAATTTTTTGGATTTAATAAACAGAAAAATTATACTATGGCTGGGGGATTTAGGATGAGATAGCAGCAAAAAGTTTCCCAGCACACTCACCAACCAGCATGCAAAAAAAACCTGTCTAACTGCTAAGTTTAAAAACAGGTTTTAGATACACGTGTATCTAAAACCTCTGTTTGTTAACCTTAGCGGTTAGACAGGTTTTTTTTTGGATGCTGGCTGGTGAGTGTGCTGGGAAACTTTTTGCTGTTGTACTGTATGAAGCCCTTCCATGTGCACCTTGCTTTAATGCTGGTTATGAGTTGATGAGTGCGTTAGGATGAGATAAGACATCTAAAGTTTATCTCCAGTTTTATTGAGAAATAGAATCACATGGGTACCAAGATTCTTCTACCTCGTCTTGGGGAACCAGAGGTGCAGAAGAGCCCAATGATCCAATGAAGAGCCCCATGCTTTAAACCAGTGGTTCTCAACCTGTGTGACCTCAGGACCCACATTTGTCCTTGGTCATTAGGTCACGACCCAAGTTGCACCACACTGAAAAGCACGACATTGCAGTACTACACGATCCGGTGCGGACAATCGAACTGTGGGCGGGAGGTGCGTTTGGGTAGCCTTTCAAATGAATGGCAACACAGTGCGCCTCCTACACTAGAAGGTGTGGTAGGTGCAATTGCGTTGTACAGTGCGTTCATCGCACGGGACTGTGCGATAAACGTGCTGTACTAGTGTAAATGGGCCCCCAAAAACACTGATACACACACAACCACAGACACCATCTCACACACTCGCAGACATTCTCACACAACACACACACTCACAATTTTTTTTCCTTTTAAAGATCCACCCAGTTTCCCTACCCTATGCAAACTGGAGTGGATCCTCAGCCTGTGGTCCAGTGTAGGCTTCTGTGTAGCGATGGAGCTCCATCCACATGTGCATTTGCTTGTACAGCTTCCTTGCACTCCCTGAAGAGGTGCCGGGAGCCAAAATGTGACATCATTCCAGTCCAGGCACTTCTACAGGGCATGTGAGGGAGCTGTAAGCAATGCATGTATGGGTGGAGCTCCCTCGTAGCCATACCCCCAGCCCACCCCACCTCAAGCTGACACTTGGCGCCGGGCAGCATATTTTGAATGGCTGCTCGCCGGTTGAACTGACCGTGCCCGCTTAGACAATTGTCACTAAAACAAGTTTCCCCTTTGGAAGATTTCACCTTTTATTTTTGATTTACATTTTTTGATTTTTCCTTCCTTTCAGTCCCAGTGACAATGTTCACCAGGGTGAATCTAAGCAGTGCAGACCCAGACCTCTGGCAGAGGTTCTAACCCTTCCATATTTTTCCAAACCTAATTGGCTTTCTATACACCTAAAAAGGGTGTCTTACTTTTATTGGGCCCATCCATACCAGCCTGATGCGAACGGGCATACAGCCTGGTGATAATATAAAGATGACTGCATACTTGCTAGGCCTGTAATTTTAGGGTACAACAACATTAATTAACATTGACTAAAAAAGAAACAGAAGCCACCTTGTGCTGATCCTAGAAGACCGGAATCAGCACTGGACAGCTCCTAAACTACTAAAGCATTCGAAGGATCTGAGGAAAACATTTATACAACATTAAGGCAAAACAGCTTTTTCACCAATAAATTTGCCTATTTTATGTATAGGGCAGAGCTCTTTATAAATTTAAACTGAAAATATAGTAAGTTTGGCAATTCAGTTGAAGATAATGAATACATTATTACTTACAATTCTGCATCAGTGAAATCTTGGCAAGTCATGCCCACTAAATATGTAATGTGTATAATGTGTATATTTTTTCAAGCCTAATGTTTGGTGGCCATTTGGCACAAGTTTGCCAAGTATCTCCTTTTTAAAGCAATTTATGTATGAACCCTAAGTAAATTAGGGGGAAAATAAAGGCTTGATTGAATAATGTGAATGTTTATTTTTGCACATTTCTTTTCTAAATAGGCGCACATCCAGACTGTGGCTTAAGGGTAGTGCTGGGCAGGCAGTTCTATCTCTTGCCAAGTGCCATATAAATTACATGTTTAAAAAAGTACACTGAGCTGAGCAACTCAATTATTCTGGTGTTTGTTAGGTGAGGAGCGAGGTGTGGCTACCTATCACTTTCTATTGCTTCTCCTGATGGACCTACCACTGGGAAAGCAGTTAAGTCATGGGAAAAATGCTGGCCATACAATACACTGTGTCAGTATTAGCACAATCAGAGATGAGCAGGCAAGTGAGGTCCCTGCCCCAAGTAAAGCACAATCAGGATCTTCCTCTCTTCCTCTTACATCAGCATGCACCTCATACTACTGAAAGGAAAGATAATATGTTTTCTTTTTCTTTGACATACTGTATATGTGAATGTTAACAGCGTATTATTATGAAAAAAGAGAACCTGACAACAAAGACATGTATTGCCACATGTGCAAACTGCACCATTTAGTATGCTCTGTCAATTGTATTGTAAACAATTTTCTTTAATTTGCTTAAAATTCAAGTAAAAGCCAGATCATCTTATATATACTCTCCACAGTCCAAAATTATACTTTTAACAAGTCCTCTGCCCTTGAATGACATCACTTCTGCCTTCTGATCCATGGCAGCTTTTGACCATTTGAGTGCCCTAGGCTAGTTAACTAATGTCACTGTTCCCCACCATGCTAATATCAAACACCATCACCAGGTGCATTGCTAGGATTGTAAAATATCTAGGGCACCCCAGAGGAAACATAATGCTAGCACTTCACCATGAACAGTGGGTGTGGCCAACTTGCAGTAACAGTGGGAGAGGCTTAAAGGGGCTCCAGGAAAATAGTCATGAGCTGCATAGCAACCAGCAACCATTGAGACAATGAACACTTTGGCCATTATGTAATGTAAAATACAGTGTATATAGTGCAGGAGTCTGTATCGCAGGGATTTGTAATGCAAAAAGGGCAGGGGTTAGGAATACTTAATGCACAGAGTGTAGGAGTCAGGACTATGTAATGCACAGAATGCACAAGTCAGGAGTGTGTGATGCAGAGTGCAGGGGTTAGGTGTGTGTAATGCGCTGTGTGAAGGTGTGATAAAGTGTGTGATACACAGAGAGCAGAGGTCAGGGGTGTGTCATTCAGAGTGCAGGGGTCAAGAGTGTATAACAAACAGCCTGCAGAGGTCAGGAGTGTATAATGCACATCATGCAGGTGTCAGGAGTGTGCAACACAAGAGTACAAGGGTCAAAGATGTGTAACACAGGGATCAATGTTACATCATACACAGAGTGCAGGGTTCAGGAGTACATAACACAGAGAGCGCAGGGGTCAGGGGTGTGCAATGCACAGACTGCATGGGCCTTAGTGCTTGTTAAGCCCTCTTCCCTAATTCCATTTATGAGCCTTGCCTCCTCCCTTTTCTTCCTTCACTGTCTGGCTGGTTTGGCTTGGAAAAAACGCTTAAAATAAACCTTTAATGAAAAGTCTATGTGGCTCCCTTTTGAAAATGCTAGTTGCCTGGCGTTGTCTATATTAATTTTGTGTCACAGACACTGAGCAAACATGCAGCAGTAAAGTCAGAACTCCTTATCTCTACATTTGGTCCTTCCATCGCCTGTTGCTGTACATTTTCCTCATCTTTACAAACACAGCATTGTAAGTAAGGGAAATTATATAGTTTTATTTATTGACAAGTGTGTACCTAAAGCATATGCAATTTTAGATGATCTTTTCCTATTGACAAAGCTAATTTTCCACAGTCAGTTTTATACGGTCATTGCTCTTTTACTGTTTGTTTTGTGATAATATTTAATTTTTTCCCCGTTAATACTGTAGAACTGTAAAACAATAAAATTTTATTAAGTGTCCCAAATATGCAGCTGTAGAGTATTTCTAACTGTTTCACTTATTACTGTAC